CAGCAGGAAATAAAAAAGGTTGCAAGTCACTTTGACAGAGCCAAAGTGCTGTTACTTCTCTGTTTTTAAACCTTGCAAAACACTTTATTAGAATTCACATCGCAATATACCAAGTGAAACGTCACACAAGTGGTGAGCTTATTCTGCTTAAAAACTACAAAGCATTGTGAGAATAATAATAATTACAACATTACTTCCTTTGACATTTTAACCTTTATTACAAAGGTCAGTGCAGGTCACCTAAAATAACCATATGCAGCAATCCTTCACAGAAGTTAGAATAAACATTACGAAACAATCACTTGAGCAGTATTTATGACTAAAATGGGTTTGGAGAATTGGGTTTTATGATGCATGAAACAAAATAGTTTGATAACATATATAATTATGAAAAGCAGGATGAATTTGATTTCTACGTACATTTTTTTTATGCTAAAACTCAGAATTTAGATTCCTGACATCTGAGCAGTAACGCTTCAGTGCCCAGGCCCGGCCCAGCATGCAGAGTGAGATAGATATGTAGACTAACCCCCAAGGAAGACAAGCTGGTCCTCAGAGTTCCTTCCACTCTCAGAGGGATGCTTTCCTCTGTCTGTAAATAAATAAAAAAAACAGGTGTGTGGGATTAGCTGTGGGATTATTTTCAGTTTTGATATGAGACCCACCATAAACTTTGCATTAACCTTCCGTTAACATCCTGTTCATGAAACACACAATAACAGAGCAAAGTATCAAAAAAAAATAACATTGCAAACTTCTCTGTTATTTTCAAAAAGAAAGTTTCAGTGGTATTTCAAACAGGAATGCTAATTTTCTTCCACTTTGTTTTCTTTTTTTATTATTATTTTTTAATATGTCTACGAGAAAAAAATAGACCCACTAGATTAGACCTGTCAAACTCATGACCCGCAGGTCGAATCCAGCTCATCACATCATTTTATGCAACCCACCAGAGCGTCACATGCACATGGTTGTACTAATGTGGATGGTCAAAGTCTATGAGTATCACCGCATGGCAGCTACTGTAACTCAGCATTTTGCTTCTCAAATTCCAATTCTAATTAAATATACAATAAAATAAACTGAAGTTCTTTTTAAAAAAAATTTAATTCTGCTACAGTCTGTTTAAATTCTTCACTTCTGATTAAAGCATCGTCAGTACTAGACTGTTCTATAAATGTACCCTGTGGTGATTGAGTTTTACCCCGCCGCACTAGAGGGCAGTAATGTTGCTAAAAAGATGCTGAACTGCAAATTAAAAAAAAGAGGGGACCAGCACACAGCGCTCGGTTTGTTTAAGGTGACAATTTAATTGCTAGGGGTTTTTATTTAGTCAAAATTTGACTGAATTGAGCATTTTATGGCACAATGAAGTATCGTCACAATATTGTCATGTACATATGCTCAGGCCCTTCTCTGTAACATCCTGAGGAATATTTTGATGGATTTTTATCTGTTAACCAGTGCACAAAGTACATTTGAACTGCAATGACAGCACCCTCTACAGAGGAGAAGGGGAAGCTACATACTTTTCAGTGACGTGGCTGTGCACACTTTTTAGTGACGTGGCTCAGCAGGTCACTATCTTAATAGGCCCATGCAGGAACAGGAAGGGCATTAAAAAAAGCAAAGAGTAAAACAGTGGGTTTGGATTGAAAAAAAAAAAAAAAACAATTAAAGAAATATTACCGCTCCTCTAACATCCGTGCTGACAGAGTTCATTCTCCTGATAGATGCCTGTCGGGAGAGACTGGAAATTTCCTCCCTGAGAAAACAAGAGAACAGACTTTTGTATGAACAGTAAAAATAATGCAGATTGTGTACACAAAGGTACTGTGTTCCGCATAATACCGCATTTACTGCCAATTTTGTGCCTATTTATTATTCATTTTCTTGTCTCTACTTGATGTCTCCTTTATCAATTATGTTCATTGTCTTGTGTGTGCTACTGAAACATCATAATAACCCTCATTTAAGTCAATTATTTTGGCAACATCAACATCATTACGTGTTTCTCATTATCATTGCACGTCAATTAAGCGTTGCGTGTTTTCGTCAACCTACTTTTTCTCAGTCAGCTCCTTCTCCAGTCTGTGGTTCTTGCGTTTGTGATGACATGTGACTGAGATGACGATGATGAGCATCAAGACAAGCAGTCCACTGGCCACGCCTCCCACGATGAGCATTAACATGTGCTCACTCTGCTCCTCTTTGTCTGCAGTGGTGGGATGAGTTATCAGCTGCATGTACAGTAGTTCTTTCCCCAACAAGTGCTAGTCTTTGAATTTCAATCCGTCAAATTAAAAGCACACAGTCATGTACCTTTCACAGTAACCTCCAACTCTGCCGTGCCTACTCCTACTTCATTCTTTGCAACACACTGATAGGTGCCTTTGTCAGACATTCTCAGCGGTCTCCCAAAGAGCAGTGTTCCGTTCAGCTGAGGGATCACACCTTCAGGCAGATCTGAGCCTTTTCTGCAAAGACCAAAACACAGTACAAAGTCACACATTCAGATCAGCAGGACTCAAGATGCAAATTTCACAATTCCATTATCACTTTTGAGTTGAGCCCAAAAGGCCTCTGTCATCTTACTGTTTGAACAGGATCATTCAGTTATTAATGGGTGATAAATTTAAATAGGATTTAGAAGAATTGACAAAAACAATATCTTCAAAACTGTACTAAAAAGCTAACTAAAACAACAGATTTGGTGGTATGGTGATGCACTGGTGAAAACCTTACAGAAGTGGAGGATAGATACCAAACTAAAGTATCTCAATAAACACAAGGACAATATAAGGACTTATTGCAAGTTAATATCCATCCATCCATTTTCATCCGCTTATCCGTTACCAGGTCACGGGGGCAGCAGTCACCACCCAAATCACATTGCACCGTACCAACCCCCCCAAACCTCCACTGGAAGGTACCAACCGCCCTAACCGGGATTCGAACTTGCCCAGGAGGTGAACCCTGGGGTTCCACACCAATGACAGAGACATTGCCTCTGGGCCAAAGCGCCACTGCAAGTTAATAATGCATCACAATTATTATTATTAGAGATGTATAGTGATGATATAAATGTTTTACCTACCTCCAATTCAAAAATGTTTTTTTTAATTAAGACTGTGACAGAGTAATAATTTATAAGAATATAGTGTGAAATGTTGCACAATAACCATAACATAATACTATTTATGATTATGTATCATCATAATTATTATTATTTTAACAATATGTATTATGTCTTAAAATGTTGTATAAGAATTATTACCAGGAACATTATGATGATGATTATTAGTAGTAGTGTTTTTATTTTTTTCTTATTATATACAGGTTGCTGTTTTGAAACAACCATACCACAACTCAGGTTAAATATACACAATTAACCATCATCCCTAACCATGAGGTACTGTATTATTATTTTATTTCCTTGAATCTCTGCCAAAATGAAAGACTTTGTTTTGTTTTGGGTTTTTTTTCTTCACAATTTTCACAACAGATTTGCATAGAAACTTTCCAGCATTATGAAACAAACCCTTGTGTTTCTATTCAAATCCCAGTCACTACATCCTTAGCACAGTGAAGGTACAGTGTGCCTGTTTCAATAGCGGGAAAGAGGAACTTTCTTTGACAAATACATACACAAATCTAATATCTAATAACTAAGATTTTACAGTCATAGCTGTCTCCCCTTCTTGACATTTTGCTCCCCCCTTGCTCCCTCACTCACTCTCTCCTTCTCTCCCCCACGCTATAGACATTTGTTCACCCTCTTTCAAAGTGCTCATCCTTATTTTTCCCTACCTAATCCCCCCTTTTTTCTTCCTCCCTCCTTCGTGTGAAACTATCTCATCCGTCTGCTTTTGGCACAAGCCGCAACACGACACTGTGACACAAGATATTAGTTCACCCGCCGTCTTTCACTGACACATCCAACAGGTTCTCCCACTGCTGTAGCCGTGTGTGCTTTTCTGTGTGAGTGTGTTTCAACCCCTCATTTAGACATCTGTGACAAACGAAAAGCCAAAAAAGCGCGACTTCTGACAACACAAAAAGGGGAAAAATGAACCTGACCCAACACTAGGCCTAGGCTGTTCCTCTTTCGGTCACATTTTACATCACACAGTTTTCCAGTCAAAGTCTCTAACACACCTTGACATTGTGTCAATGCACCAAAAGAAGACAACAGATGACTCAGACAGAGGACGTCTGTGTGCCCTAAAGAACCATCAGAGTTTAAAGCAGGGCAGTGTGGTGATACATTTCAGATGACACACACACACACACAACATTTGTACCTGTCAATTGCTGGTAAAGCAGTGGGAGAGGTGATGACAATGTCAGGACTTGTTTAGCTAAGCAATGAAGAATGGGTGGAGTGTATTTCAGAGAATTAAAGCTGCACTTTGTACACACCAGACACAGCAAATGCAGCACGGTGGACACAGTTCAGACGTGGCACACAGAGGACAGTGAGATAATAAATACAAAATGCAACATCAATAAATGCAACATCATAGTGTCTGCACTTGAGTTTGCAGCACAAAAATCAGTACAATCTATTTTAAAACTGGTACCTTTTTTTGTAAGGACAATAATGAAGCAGGATGTCAGTTAAATGTATGGCAATGCAAACTAATGGCTGTTAGGACTTATATAGCAGACAGATATAGTTGCTATCAATAAGTCACTTAAATTTTGTTAGTGGTGCATGTAGTGCTGCTGGGTGGTAAAACAAAAACGATATTAAAGATGTAGAAAATAACATTTGGATAGGCAAAATAATGCATTTCACATTAATAATCTGCATTTGTATTTTAGTTTTTTTTTAACTAAACAGGATCAAAATGCACTACTGCTACTACTACTTTGTATTTTTGTGTATTATGTCATGTGTATTTTTTAGAAAATGTATATCCGGAATTAATGTTGACATAGCAGCTGTTAATTAATATTGATTAGAGAATTAATTTAGCTAACGTAAGCTAATTAAAATAATGTAGACATAAAAAGGTTAATATTATAGTATCATGAACTGCGCTGTCATGAGTTGGAAATCATGTCAGTAAGAATGTTGAATCACATGGTTTAATCTGATGACTTGATGGTTTTAGACATGTCCTAAAGACAAAACCAAAGCATGTTAAGACGGTTTGTCATGGAAAGGGTCGAGAATCAAATTATTTTGTACCACATCTTCAAGCAAGAACAGCTACATTTAAACAATTGAATAAAGTCACTCAGTCTACCCCAAGATCAAGACTGGTCTTAGTGTCACCACTCTGACAGTTTCCTGGTTGAATTAAGACAATAATTGACACGATTGTGTGAGATATTACAGGAAAATAAACAGTGACCCGACATATCAGACACTTAGTCACACCAGTGCCAGACAGGCAGAGAGGGGAGGAGACTCCTGCTGTACCTGATCCAGGTGAAACTCTGTGGTTTGGGGTTTCCTTCACTCACACACCTCAGGGCAGCATTCTCCTGACCCTGGTACCAGTCTCCTTTGAAGCCAGACACCTTTGAATCAGGTGGGACTGTCGGGACGGAAAAGAAATGACTGAGAAAAAGTGAGGTGCGAGTTGTTAAACACACTATCTATCAATCTCTCTCTCTCTCTCTCTC